ACATGATCAACATTTTCCAATCACCTAATGATCTTCTTCAAAGAAATTGCAAGAGTCATCTTTCTTACTGTGTCAAAGGACTAATTCTGATCTTCCATGATTTACACCACCAACTCAAATTAATTCAGCAAGCTATTACTGAGGTAAGAATGTGCTCAGTGTTTAAAGATAATTGCCCCTTACTTTGATGGACATAATTTTTACAAGCTAACTGAAAGCATTTATGCACCATCACACAGAAACTGATCCTTTTAGGTAGACTTCTAGTTAAATAAAATATTATGAGCAAAATCTTTTAAGTCTTTTTTTGTTGGGTTTTTTTTTGTCCTTCTAGACAAGTCTCAGTCATTTTTTTGTTAGCTGTTTATAAGGTATCGTACTGGTAGATACTATTTAGTAAAGATATGTTTATACATATGAATTTTAGTATTTAGCCTTCCAAATATGATCCTGAATAGACCATGCCATAAGAACACAGAAGTAAAGTCACCAATAGGCCTAAAATACTAGGATTTGCACAAAACCTGACAACTCAACTCTATAATGGCCAAGAATTCACAAGAAAGAAATGCCACTCTGAATGCTTTTTTTCTGACCTTATAAACTGATAAACGTCCATTAGAAAGAATACTGATGAGATGCCACACAAAGGGCAACATGGAACAAATGCCTTAAGCACAATGCATAAATCAGCGTGTGACAGACGATTAACCATTGTCCTCAAAGTGGAGAGAGCACGCACGTGCGTGTGCAAGAGTGAGCATTTTTATACACTGCATGCATAAATTATAATTAAAATAATTCTCAGACACTCTGGGTATTTATAATAAATACACACAAAATAATCCTTTAAGCATGTATGAATGTCTACACCATCCATTCTTTGTTACAGGGAACACATCTGGGACTTCAATATGTTAGAAATGGAGAATGTTATACGAAGAAAGAAAAATAAATTTAATTCTCCATATCAAACATCTTGTTACTGACAATACATAATGAACAATTACTAGATTTGCTTAGCAGGAAGAGGTGTCTTTCAATCATCGAAACTGTACTTCCAAAATCAAAAAAATCTAGACCATGATTGATTGTTGTTATTCTACACCAAAAAGCAACCTATGGGATGGTGAAGAGGATTACATTTGGTTTTTTGATCTTTTCCAAACAGATTTCACTCAATAAACTGCTTATATAGTTTTATAATCACATCATAGTGGAGGCTGTTGTTCACTGTCAGGAAAATTTCTTTGCTTGAGAAGAAAGAAGAGCAACTAAAAACAGGTCCACGGGGATTTCTTGAACAAAAATAAACAACATCACAATGGATTCTGAACTCCAAGGGGGGTGAACAAAAAATTGTCTACCATTGTAGACTAAAAGGAAAATTTCTCTAAAAGGATCAACAAAGGTCTTCCTAAGCAAACTATACTCAGACAAAACCACAACGTACAGCCCTGCTATTAATTTTTGATGCAATGGCCACTTTCTAGCAAATCTGAAGGGGACAGTTTCAGATCACAGTGACAACTGCACTCTGGCTACCCCATATTGGTTCTGTTGCTTCTTCCTCACTCAAACATACTTTGAACTTGGAAGGAAGGGTGTGATAAATACGGGGGCTGAGGATACTGCGTGAAGAGGAATTCCCTGTGACATTGGAGAACTGCAGCAACACAGGACTGTGGATAACAGCTGCTAATGCAAGATGTTATACACAGTGTAGGAAGGTGAGGAGCAGGGTACAATCTTGGGTGAGGAAGGTTTTTTGTGAATGTATTTGTAAATTTGAAGCCATGTGTAGCTTTGAAACCTATTTAAGGAACATACTAGTATCACATACTCACCACGACAAATACTTATCCACATTTTGGGGATAACCAGAGAGTTGCAGGCCCACTCATGTGAGCATGCCACTATGTTTCAAAGGCACTGAATTTGCTGGTCTACCTTTACCCACATTCCCTTGTGAACAGCTTTAAGGTATGCCTGAAAAAATACTAAACTTCACAGGATATGAACTGTTCTTATACAATCAGAAGGCAGATGATTAGCTAGTAAAATACATAAATATAATATCAGGTACAGACAGAAGCAAATAAAATACATTTCTGCAAAAGAGATTAGCATAGATGTTTCAATGGATTAGGAAGTTTCAGTGACAGAAGGTATATTTAATATATAAAATCCAAGTAATGAGAAGCAGTGGAAAAAAATAGGGCAACTGTCATGTGTCCAAGAAATATCTTCTAAAAAAGCTGTCAAATATAAACACTTCACAGCAACAAAACACTCTGCAACTGAACAAGGCAAATTTAATTCAGAATTTACAATGTACCTCATCATGGATTTTATAATTACAAGAACCCCTGAACAGCTGCATCTCTCCAAATTGAAACAGCACTTACCTTCTCCTGTTAAATAACTCCTGTCTGGCATTTCTGATTTGTTGGACATAAAGATTGTTGTTATTGGTTTATTCTAGCAAAAGGTCAGTTGAGAAGGAATACGACCAATGCATATAAATAGACCCAGAGGCAAACACCTGAGAAGGGTAAGAACTAATTAAGCTCAAGGACCATGCTGGCATAAGAACAAATGGTTATAAATTGGTCATAAAGAAATTCAGGTTGAAAGTGAAACAACCTGATGTTTTCAGATGAAAATTCACAAATTTGTCATCAGGATGACCCGGCTGTCTGCAATAACAAGTGCTTGAACTCAAGTGACCCAGGAAGCTGCCCCCTTCCAGTCATACATCCTAAAAACACAATAAATGTTAACAGTCTTGTGAAATATGTTAAATCCTGTAATAGATCTAGTCACTGAAAAAATATGATATAAGCTATAAGTAATAATAGAAAAATACGTATAAGCTCAGATGTGAATGAATTTTCAAATGTTTAGAAACTGATTTGCATGGTTCTAAAAAACCACAGATTTTCATTCAAGCTATCAAGACTATGAAAGGTTCCTTCCCAGCAACAGGTAGGGCTAAGCTAAATCTGCCTAAACCCCGTTACAGCAACAAACCTTGGAAGATATTTTCACTTCCTACTAATATTCCTTATTCTTGTTCCTTCTCCCCCCCCCAAAAATAAGGAGGAGAGCAAAATGCAGATACGGCATCCCTTACCATCACAGAAAACAAATAACAATCTTCTTATCTTTGATGTCTTCTGGAATTTGTTTTTACTCACCCTGCCACAAAAGCTCAAGAAAATAATACAGAAGAATAACCAATGCACATATGGGATATACCAATCAATCAACAGCATATCCCATTCATTGGTCTTTTTCACTGACTTTGGTAAATTTTGTATCAGAACACACACAATTTTAGCAAGTACATTTAGAATATCCAGTGTTTTGTTTCATGGGGTGCTTTTTTCCTAGCTATGAAAGGAGCAAACTCTGCATTAGGGAAGTTCATACTAGGTAAGTGAACCGCTTCATCCCTGGAATAAGGAATCATAAAAAAGCTGTTCTATTGTCAGTTGATCCTCCATCAGATCCAACTATTAGTCTCAGGTTTTACTAATTCTAATTAATATACTTTTAGTCATTAAATACAATAGCACTTTATTTTGAGTGTCTTTTGTAATACTCCTGTTTAACAGAAATGACATTTCAACTGATCCAAACTTTTTTTGAAATGCAGAACAAATTAACTTTATTGTTTCACCTGAAAAAATCTTTTCCTTTTTTTCCTTTCTCATCCTCTTTTTCTTTTATTGATAGTTTAAAAAAGACCCCCACAAAACACATACAATGTCCAAATCATAGAATCATAGAATCATAGAATCATAGAATCATAGAATGTTTTGGGTTGGAAGGGACCCCTAGAGGTCATCTAGTCCAACCCCCCTGCTGTGAGCAGGGACACCGCTAACTAGATCAGGTTGCTCAGAGCCCCGTCCAACCTGGTCTTGAATGCTTCCAGGGATGGGGCCTCCACTACCTCTCTGGGCAACCTGTTCCAGTTTCACCACCCTCATTGTAAAGAATTTCTTCCTTGTATCTAGTCTAAACCTACCCTGGTTTAGTTTAAAACCATTACCCCTTGTCTTGTCACAGCTGGCCCTACTAAAATAAGGATGCCCTTGCTAAATCACCTTCTCTTTCCCCCCAAAAGTCCATTATTTAGCACATATGCAGCCCTTAAACAATGAATGTTAAAGCAATCCTAGTCTAGGAAGTCCTGACCACATAATCACATTCTCTTTCTGGACAAAAGCATACCTAAAATACTTACAAAAAAGAAAAAGGAGATACTGATCACTGCCCATGCAGTCATCTCCTTTGTTTTTTGATAGTGATATCTAAGTTTACACTTAATTACTGTTGCTTTGCTTCATTAAGAATATTAAATTATTTGGGGGACAAAAAATTTTGTTCATTATATAGGTAGGGGTTTTTTCAGCAAACAAAAATCCTTTTCAGTTTGAAATACTTTTCACACTATTTTTCACTTCAGGCTGAACCAGAAATCAATTATTCACAAGGCTCTAAGCCAAAGTTGTTAAAAATGGCTTTGTGCTCTCAAAATTCCTGTTTCCTATCTTTCTTTCTTGAAAGGAAAATACCTATTGCAACCAAGATTTAATTGCAACAGATGGAGGACAC